TTCCTGTGCAAAGACTGAAACTTTGACACAGTTGGGGGAATTATAATGAAACAGGAATGTGGCACAAGTGGCGTGCACCACATTAACAAGGCAGATAGACCAGTTTCAGGTGTGTGTGTGTTAGTGTGGGAATTACTAAGAACACTCTGTGGGGTTAAACTGAATTTATTGTCCACAAGGTCTTTAAAAATCTTATGATGCAAATATCATCCATGGCAAAATTCTGTAGTGTTATAATGCTGACATTATACACAATACAATTCACAAAAATATAACACATGGGGGGGGGGGAGATTACTAAAACTGAAGCACTCAGAATCTGGTGCAGGTGTACATGGCACCCAATCAGCTTTTAATCTCCCTGGCGGTATTCCCGAGTGTAGCTCGGGGTGAAGTTTTCAGTACCACAAGCGGTAACTCCGAGCTACACTCGGGCTTACCATGCGGCGCTGCTCCGGGATCCCTCGATCACTTACCTTGTCCTGCGCTCCCGCGATGTCCCCCTGCAGTGTCCCCGGAAATGTAATCCGGCAGATGCCGGCATCTGTCATCTGGGTTTCCGTACCCTTCGAGCGCCGGGACGTATGGGGACGGAACTGGCGGGAAATTTGAAAATGACAAAAAAGTGACATTCACTAAATTCACTAAAATCACATAGTAAAACATTACTGTATCAAACCATTTCACATACATTTTGTCCCGAGTGCTTTGTCCTGTGCCCTGCCTGCATTTTTTACTGTTCTTTCTGCCTGGAAATGAGAAAATGTCCATGGCGTCCAAAAAGCATCCCTTTAGGTCAAAATCGGTTTTAGACCAGCTAGAGAACAGCGATAGTAAATTAGAACCACTTGCAGAATTGAGTGATAATGATTCGTGGGGGAAATTCGTCATCAGACACTGAAAACGATTTTGCAACTTTGCTCAGTGATGTGCGAACTTGGCGCTATATTTCAAATTTCAGTGTTTTTGGTTTGATTATATTATTAAATAAAATATATTATTATATTATTATTTTTTATGATTATTTATTAAATTATAATTTATGATTTTGTGTTTCAAATTTTAACATACCCGGAATGTTTTACTAGACTCTTGTTCAGGACAGATTTCAGTGAGTTATCCCTAAAAATTACAGGCCTACAATAAAAAAAATACATATTTCCATGCAAAAAAATTTTACCGCTTTGAGCACAGAAATATGGACATAATTAGATTGCTAGGGAGGTTAACTTCAGCTTTGTGCATGAGCTGCACCAAATTTTGCACTCTTCAGTTTTAGTAAATAACCCCCCATAGCATTTTCATTGCTATTTGTTATTTGTAAATGTTTGCAATCACATTTTTATTTTTCATTTACTAACAGTTTTTTTTGTACTGATGCGATAAATTTGCTACATGTATGATTTGTTGTTGGTTTTAAATGATCCCCTATGTAAAAATTCACAACAATTATCATCAGGTTGTTGCTACTCTGATTTTCTAATGAAGCTTTGGGATAATGTCAGCACTGACCTGGAGATGGCTTGAAAAAAACACAAAGCCAAACGTAAAGCGGAGTTCCAGCAGTTTTTGTGTTTATTAAACCACTTCCTGTCCGGACACTTTTATACCCCCTTCCTGTCCAGGCCAATTTTCAGCTTTCGGCGCTCTCACATTGTGAATGACAATTACTCAGGCATACAACACTGTATCTAAATGAAATTATTATCATTTTTTTCAAACAAATAGAGCTTTAATTTGGTGGTATTTAATCATCACTGGGGTTTTTATTTTTTGCTAGAAAAAATGAAAAAGACTGAAAATTTTGAAAAAAAACATGTTTTTCTTAGTATTTGATACTAAATTTTGCAAATAAATATACTTTCTTCATAAATTTAGGCCAAAATCCATTGTGCTACATTTTGTTGGTAGACATAACCCAAATCAGTGTGTATTATTTAGTCTTTGTGAAAGTTATAGAGTCCACAGACACGGTATATATATTTGATATATTTGAAAATGTATCAATCCTGATGCACGGACTACCTATATAATTTCTTGGGGGCCTAAAATGCCAGGACAGTACAAATACCCCCCAAACGACCCCTTTTTGGAAAGTAGACAGTCTGAGGTATTTAATGAGAGGCATGGGAGTTTTTTGAAGTTGTCATTTTTTGCCAATTTTTTAAGGAAATGATGAAAGTAAAAAAAATTCTTTTTTTTTTTTCCCACAAAGTTGTCATTTAACAAGTTCTTTCTCTCACACGGCATAGGCATACTTGCAATTACACCCCAAAACACATTCTGCTACTCATCCTGAGTATGGCGGTTACCACATGTGTAAAACTTTTTCACAGCCTAACCACATAGAAGGGCCCCACATCCAATAAGCACCCTTAGGCGTTCTAGGGGCAAAAATTACACATCTAATTTCTGACTGTCTATCACAGTTTTGGAGGTCCTGGAGCACCAGGACAATTGAATTACCCACAAAATGACCCCATTTTTCAAAAGAAAACACCTCAAGGTATGTTTTAAGAGGCATGGGAGTCCTCTGAAGACTTCATTTTTTGCCACATGTTTTTGGAAAATGTGAAAAGAAAATGAAAATGTATTTTTTTTTACGCAAAGTTGTCAATCTATGAGATATTTCTATTACACAGCATAGGCATACTTAAATGATACCTCAAAACGCATTCTTTAACTCCTGCTGAATATGGCGATACCAAAATGTGTGAGACTTTTTCACAGTCTGGCCACATAGAGGGTTCCACATCCAATAAGCACCTGTTAGCGTTCTAAGGGCAAAAATTACACATCTAATTTCTTGACTACCTATTGCCGTTTTGGAGGTCCTGGAGCATCAGGGCAATGGAATTATCCACAAAAAGACCCCATTTTGGAAAGCAAACACCCCAAGGTATGTTTTAAGAGTGTCATGCGGAGTCTTCTGAAGACGTCATTTTTTGCCACAAGTTTTTGGAAAATGCGAAAGAAAATGGAAAAATGTATTTTTTCTACACAAAGTTGTCAATCTATGAGATATTTCTAATACACTGCATAGGCATACTTAAAATTACACCCCAAAACACATTCTCTAACTCTTCATGAATATGGTGATACCAAATGTGTGAGACTTTTTCACAGTCTGGCCACATAGAGGGGTTCCACATCCAATAAGCACCTGTTAGCGTTCTAAGGGCAAAAATCACACATCTAACTTCTTAACTACCTATTGCTGTTTTGGAGGTCCTGGAGCATCAGGATAATGGAATTATCCACAAAAAGACCCCATTTTGGAAAGCAAACACCCCAAGGTATGTTTTAAGAGGCATGGGGAGTCTTCTGAAGACTTCATTTTTTGCCATAAGTTTTTGGAAAATGTGAAAAGAAAATGAAAATATATTTTTTTTTTATGCAAAGTTGTCAATCTATGAGATATTTCTATTACACAGCATAGGCATACTTAAAATTACACCTCAAAATGCATTCTTTAACTCCTGCTGAATATGGCGATACCAAATGTGTGAGACTTTTTCACAGTCTGGCCACATAGAAGGGTTCCACATCCAATAAGCACCTGTTAGCGTTCTAAGGGCAAAAATTAACACATCTAATTTCTTGACTACCTATTGCCGTTTTGGAGGTCCTGGAGCATCAGGGCAATGGAATTATCCACAAAATGACCCCATTTTGGAAAGAAAAACACCCCAAGGTATGTTTTAAGAGGCATGGGAGTCTTCTGAAGACTTCATTTTTTGCCAAAAGTTTTTGGAATATGTTAAAAGAAAATGAAAATGTATTTTTTTCTATGCAAAGTTGTCAATATAGAAGATATTTCTAATACACTGCATAGGCATACTTAAAATTACACCCCAAAACACATTCTCTAACTCTTCCTGAGTATAACATACCACACGTGCAAGACTTTTTCACAGGACCTAACCAAATGGAGGGGCCCCACATGCAATAAGCACCGTTAGGCATACTAGGGCAAAATCTACACATCTAATTGTATTGACTACGTATCACAATTTTGGAGGTCCTGGAGCAGCAAAGGTCTTCTGAAGACTTAATTTTTTTTACACAGATTTTTTAGAAAATGTGAAAAAAAAGTAGTTATTTTTTCTTTAATGCATGGTTCCAAATAATAACATATTTCTAACACTCTGCATAGGTATTCTTAGATTAAATCACTTTAAAACACATTCTGCTACTTTTTCTGAGTATGGGGGATACCCACATGTGTAAGACATTTTCAGTGTTTGGACTGATTACTGGTCATTGCAACCTGTTTATCACAAAAAAATTAGCAAAAAACATTATATATCAATAAAGCTTAGTGTAGCTTCACCTACAGCCTGTTCCTAAAGCTTAACCTAACTAGTACGTGGCTGTCCACATAGCACTATGTTCATTCACCAAGAAGTTGAACAAAGATAAAACCAAAGAGTACCTGTTGTTTCAGTGCAGAGGATGGGTGGCACCAGTGTCTGGCAGGAAGGTAGGTGGGGATGTGCAGTGGGGGGATGTGCAGTGGGTCAGTACCGGTGTCATGCATAGACGTGGGAGCAAACAGGCAAAGTAGTGGTCCAGGAAGAAGACAGGAACATGGTCCATAAAAAGGCCACAGTCAATACAGACAGCAAGCAAAGACGTGGTAAAAGGATTGGTCCAGACTGAAACATTAAGCTTAGGGCCTTGGTTAGGTAAAGACTGGACATAAGGTAGTAGAGGACTTCATCCCACCCAAATCTCTTCGAAGCCTCTGGTTCGTCCAGACCCTGATCCGGGAATTAAAAAACCCAAAGAAAACAAAAAAAGTTTTCTCTGCTCGGAAATCACTACTCTGGATCCCCTCACATACGTGAGACCCCTGTGTTGTCTTGAATCCCACTACTAAAGTGGGAGGGCAAAAGATCAGTCCCTGGGAGGCAGGCATGAGGCATGGTCGATTAACAGGCCGAGGTCAGCTTCAGGCATGCAGGCTGAGGCATGGTCGATTAACAGGCTGAGGTCAGTTCAGGCAGCAGGCAGAGGCATGGTCGATTTCACAGGCCGAGGTCAGTTCAGGCAGCAAGCAGGTGGCATGGATCGGAGGTCAGTTCAGGCTACCCCTTGCAGTAACACGCCGAGGTCAGTTCAGGCAGCCTTTAAGCAGCTGGATGGACCATATGGTCTGCTAAACAGCCGAGGTCAGTTCAGATGGGAAGGCAGGAAAAATGAATTCAGGCAACAGGCAGAAACGTGGCAGGGAAATAGCAAACAGAGGACAAAGAAATATATCTTCACCGTACTTCACTAATAATGTTTTAGTGCGGTATGGTAGATACGGAAGCACTCTTCTATATACAGAGACCAGGCTTTGAGGGACAACTGGGGACAGTAGTATCGGGTGTCAGATCGAATTCTATGTTTGGTGCATACCCGACATCTCTTTTGAGGATTGCGGTCTGTTTCGGTCAGGGGGGACGATATTGGGGAACGCTGTCTTTCATTGCAATGGCTCACGCATCAGACCGGAACGATTGTTACAGTACGGGTCTTACTTGATAGAACACATGACCACAACAACGGGGACGTTGATAATCTTCTTCCTGAACGGACGACTGTACGAAGAGGTGAAGGTTCTTTCATGTGGACTTCTGGGGCATCAACCGGATGTAGGAATTAGTACAGGGCCTTATTGTTAGGAAAATCTCTTTCCTGATATTGTATGAAGGGATACTCTTCTTCCTGTGTTGGTATACAGTGTAGAAGTTGATGGGCTCTTTGGTGTTGGTGTGTATGTAGGGGTTGGGGGTGTAAATATTTGATCATTTAAATACTCTCCCCCATGAACAGGTTTGTATTCGTGTATGCAATTGGGGTTTTAGGATGGGACCGCGACTTCCTTTTGAAATTTCCAATGAGCTGCTGTTATGGATAGATGATAAGGACATACACATCCGTTTGTCTCGCCATTAAGGGCCAGGATCTCTTCATTTCTCAAGCTAGCTGACTCCCCTACCCTGGTTTAGCCTGGGTGGCAACCAATTGTTGTGGAAATCCCTTTCGATTGGGTTCGAACTGTGCCACAGGCTAATTAGTGTCCTTGAGATAAAGGTGGCGGAAAAGGGGCGGCTTGTGTATAAATTGTCCAGCGTATAAGTGGTTACCCTGATTGAACGATGAGGGGTATTACTCAGGTCCCCAGACAATTTTTCCACTAATCCCACTATAGGCTGGGCATTCAGGGGGCTCTAGCTGACTGTCCTTTTCCTCGTAGATACGGAACTTGTGCACGTATCCTGTGGTCCTTTCGCAGAGTTTGTTCATCCTTCACCCCCCGTATCTGGCCCGTTTACTTGGCTATGTACTGTTTTATGATCTGCCTCCCAGTGAAATGGATTAGGGATTCATCGACACAGATGTTTTTTTCAGGACAATATATTTTCTGAAAAATTTTTGGTTGAAATAATTGATTAGTGGACGAATTTTTATAAAGTTTGTCGTATCGGGGTGATCTCTGGGGGGGTAAAACAGGGAATTATCGTTGTGAATGTAGAAAGTGCAGAATTGTTTTATAGCGGGTCCTGGACTAGTGGCAGAAAAGAGCGGCATGTGTGTTGAATGGGATTTGTCGACCAATAGAGCATGCAGTTCATTTTTTTTTGTTAGTCCCATATTAAATGTAAGGCCAAGAAAAAACTTTAAATTCTTCAATGTGAGGCATTTCCACTTCAAATGTTCGAGCATAACAGGAGTTGGGATTTTGAGTGATTAATTGCTGGGCGAAAATATTGCATTGGTGCACAACTGAATTCAAAAAACCTCTTCAGTGAAAATATAAATGGAAATAAATCAATGGCTGGAAAATTTTGGGTTTCTGCACTGAATGCCTGACCTGGGCCTATGAATGGGGGAATATAGGTGCTCCTGATCCTGAAGGTAGCCACACAGGGTTTAAATGAGCATATGGGACAGCAGTATGGGCCTTAATCCTTGGTGGCTGATGTGACATCCTGAATACTAGACAAACTCTGCACTTACAGTGCTGGTAGTAGCCATATCAGAAAGAACGTATTGAGCTGCTCTGGTGGTTGCATACTGCTCCATGGAGTTCCTCATTCTTTTTGTTGGAACACCTTCTTCTGATTCAGAGAGTGAACTCGCTGGCCTGTGTTCTGGTTCATTATACCCAATCAGAGTTTGACAGTCGAGGAGTTCTCCGTCACTCTTCATCTGTCATATCAGAATTTTGAAACGCACTCTCGCTTGTATATGATCTTTTGGCCATATTTTTTGGCACTGATCAGGACCCACTGGTATGGCAGTGATCAGGATGGTTGTGCAGTTAGGGACAGATATCTGGCTGCAGTTGGTTCACACTAGTCACTGTTGGGCAAAAATCAGAGATCCAGTGAGGTGGCTCGGCAATGTTTTGTGAGTGTGGTGTAAAACTCTGTGGCAAAGGCTGAAAAAATTACTCACAGTTAGGCTGTACTGGATCTCCTCTCCTCACAGACGATGGCAGTGAACAGGATCCACTGGTGTGGCCAGAGATCAGGGACACCTTTATGAACATGCACACTGTAAGGTGAAAATTCAGGGGACACTGATTGTGGCCACTGTTATGGTGATCAGGGGGACACTGCTGAGGCCACTGCGGTGATTCCTGGGACACTGCTGGGCCACTTGTGTGGCGATCAGGGACACTGTGGCAATCAGGGACATTGTGGCGATCAGGGACACTGCTGTGGACCACTTGTGCGGCGACCATGGACACTGCTGGGCCACTGCGATGATCAGGGACACTGCTGGGCCCACTTGTGTGGCGATCAGAAAAAACACTGCTGGCAACTGCGGTGATCAAGGGACCCACTGCGGTGATCAGGGGCACTGCTGGACCTTTTGTTCCGGCGATTCTGGGACACTGCTGGCCCACTTGTGTGGTGATCAGGGACACTGCTGGGCCACTTGGTGTGGTGATCTGGGCAGCTGCGGCAATCAGGGGACACTGCGTGTGATCAGGGACACGTTGCTGGACCACACTTGTGCAGCAATCGGGGACACTGCGGTAATCATGAGGGACACTGCTGGGACACTGCGGCGATCAGGGACACTGCTGGACCACTTTCTGCGGCCGATCAGGGACACTGCTGGGCCACTGCGATGATCAGGACACTGCTGGGCACTTGTTTGTATGGCAAATCAGAAAACACTTGCTGGACTACTGCTGTGATCAGGGGGACACTTCCTCGGTGATCAGGGGCACTGCTGGACCACTTGTCTGGCGATCAGGGACACTGCTGGGCCACTTGTGTGGTGATCAGGACACTGCTGGGCCAACTGTGGGGTTCAGGGACTCTGCCTGGGCCAATTGTGTGGTGATCAGGAACACCTGCTGGGCCAATGCGGTGATCAGGGACTACTGCTGGGCCACTTGTGTGGTGATCAGGAACACTGCTGGGCCAATGCGGTGATCAGGGACCACTGCTGGGCCACTTGTGTGGTGGTCAGGGGACAATGCTGGGCCATGCGGCAATCAGGGCCACTGCGGCGATCAGGGACACTGCTGCGACCACTTGTGCGGCAATCAGGGACACTGCGGTGATCAGGGACACTGCTGGGCCACTGCGGTGATCAGGGACACTGCTGGACCACTTGTGCGGCCAATCAGGGACAATGCTGGGTTACTTGTGCGGCAATCGCAGGGACAACTGCTGGGCCACTTGTGTGGGCGATTCAGGGACACTGCCTGGGCCACTGCGGCAATCAGGGACACTGCGGCAATCAAGGACACAGCTGGACCACTTGTGCGGCCAATCAGGGACACTGTGGCGATCAGGAACACTGCCTGGACCACTTGTGCGGCAATCAGGGACACTGCGGTGATCGGGACACTGCTGGGCCACTGCGGCGATCAGGGACACCCTGCTGGACCACTTGTGCGGCAATCTGGGACCACTGCTTGGCCACTGCGGCGATACTGCTGGGCCACTTGTGTGACGATCAGGGACACTGCTTGGCCCCTGCGGCGAATCAGGGACACTGCTTGGCCACTTGTGTGGCGATCAGGGACACTGTGGAGATCAGGAACACTGCTGGGCCACTATGTGGCGATCAGGGACACTGACAATTCAGGGACACTGCTGGGCACTTGTTGGGCGATCAGGGCCACTTGTGGGCGATCAGGGCCACTTGTGGGCGATCAGGGCCACTTGGGGCGATCAGGGCCACTTGGGGCAATCAGGGCCACTTGGGGGCAATCAGGGACACTTGTTGGGGGCAATCAGGGCCACTTGTGGGGGCAATCAGGGCCACTTATGGGCAAAGCCACTTGTTGGGGCAATCAGGCCACTTATTGGGGTGATCAGGGCCACTTTAGGGGCGATCAGGGCCACTTTTAGGGGCAATCAGGGACACTTTAGGGGCGATCAGGTGTCACTGAGGTGGAGGGCAGTTGACCCTACTACCTCTTTCTTGGCTGTTTCTCCTCTCACAGACAACTCTGTGTGAGGAGAAGGAGGCGGAAGCCGCACCATGCGGCTTTTGTTTACACTTAAGCTGTGTCCTTATTGGACACAGCTGATCACATGGTATGGGACCGATTTCATTGGTCCCATACCATGTCACGTAATCTACCGTGTCCGTCGGACTCGGCGATCATCGGGCTCGCGGTTGTGCGCGCTCTAGGAGCTGCGCACGAGCCTCAGACACAAGGTGCCGTTTAGAGACGGCAACCCGCTCCTGTAGGTGTCCCGTCCTGCCGTTTATAAACAGCGGCCGGACGGGAAGTGGTTAAAAGTCAGCAGCTACAAAAACTGTAGCTGCTGATTGTTAATAAACACACACTCACCTGTCCTGGAGTCCAGTGATGTGCTCACCTGCGATGTCCCTTCTTTCCTCCATGGCGACGGCATCTCAGCTGTGAGCACCAGTAGGCACTGCGCATGCACAAGTCACGCTGCGCCTCCTAATTGGTCTGGCAGTCTCCTGGGACCTGTGAAAGTTTGCAGGAGACTGCGGGAGGGAGGAGGGGGCCAAACTTCCGTCTCACTTTGTCGTGGCGAACTGTCAAAACCAGGTACCTGCTCCCCCCAAATGGTGCCAAATATGGCAGTTGAGGGGGGAAGGAGGTAAATAAGTGGAGCTTTTGCTTTTGAGTGGAACTCCGCTTTAATGCTAACCCGCATGGTAGTTCAAAAGCTAACCATATCAATAAAGCCATGTTAGTGTCAAGTACTGTTGTTTATCTATCTAAATGCACCCAATGTGCACCTAAAAATAAATACTTTTTTTAAAAACAATATTTTAAAAAGTATTTTATTTGAAAAGTAGCTTCTCTAACTCCCAAAAGCTATTTAAAGCGAAACTACCCTGTATCCAATCACAACAAACCAAAAGAGCTATTTAATTCATGTTTAATATTCAAAGCAAACTCCCCCATTCATCCAGATCTCCATGTTTTTTTTGCTGAA